AGAACATCAATGTCTCTTGTCACAAAATTTCAAATCAAAATTCGAAACATTGCTCGAGATACAAAAATGACAAATTTGACATCAATGTGATAATGGGCCAAAACTAAAGCCCAGCTTATGTTATGTACAAAATTTTGTCATTTTTGTATCTCAAGCAATGTTTCGAATTTTGATTTGAAGTTTTGTGACAAGAGACATCGATGTTCCGTCGATGTGCTGCATTTTTTTCAGAATTTTTTGAACATTTTAAAAATGTTTTTCGGACATTTGGAGCACCGGGAGCACCCCAAGCCTGAGAGCACTAGATACTTTTCCGTGTATCGGTAGCACCACAAGCTCCGGTGCACCAGATATTTCCCTGAGAAAGACAAGGAGAATATCTGGTGCACCGGTGCACCGAACTCAAGTCACACATTTTAAATGTTTGAAAAATTCTAAAAAAATTGTAGCACATTGACACAATATTAATGTAGGTTCTCACAAAATTTTAAGTCAAAAATTCGAAAGAAAGCTCCTAAAACAAAAATGGCAAATTCAACACTGATAGTACATAATATAGGTTGAGCTTTAGATTTGGCCCATTATCACACTGATGTTAATTTTGTGATTTTTATTCTTAAAAAGTATTTCAAATTTTGATACGAAATTTTTGTGATAACATACATTAATGTTATGTCAATGTGCTTAATTTTTTTCAGATTTTTTAAAATGTTGTACGGCATTCGGTGCATCGGTAGCACCATAAGTGTTGGTGCACTGGATACGTTTCCGGGAAGAACAAGGCCCTGCGTGCGTGGCTGCCAGGTGTGCCCGCGGAGGCCAAGCTGGACTAGGTGCTCCTCGTCAAGTACAACCAAAAAAAATATGGTAGTCGAGGAAACGGAAAAGCAAACGAGCTGACGCTCCCTAGCTAGTTCCTAGCCGCCGCCGGCCCGCCGCCGCTACTGCCGGTCCTCAGCCGCGGCGCACTAAGCGGGCCGAAGCCTCCGCTGCCCTGCCGCCGGTACAGGATCCCAGTAGCGCTTCCCTCTGCCGAGCAGCCGCTCCCGCCCAGCACGCCGCCGACC